ACATTAGTTTTAATTTACTTTACTAACTAACTAAATAATACTAGTAGATACTAGTACTAAACTAACCTACCTAACAATAATACTAATATCTCTATATATATATATATATATATATATATATATATATATATATATAGAAAGAGAGAGAGAGAAACTAATAGTTAGGCAAGTAATTCTGGACCCCCAACAAGTTTTAGAATATCATTTCACTTGCTGTGTGTTGACCCACAAACATACAGGTGGAGCATAAGCTACGACACAGTTGGTACTACATGGTTGATTCAGTTGGCTTTATACGTTTGGTAATAAAAAAAATACTACAAAGACAACTGACATCACTTTAACTATTGTTTGTTGCAAAATAATGTTTCATAATTTAACTATGCTCTAAATGAAACAACTTTATAGTCACTTTTGCCCCAACTTGTATATTGTTTAAAAGACGTATTAGATATCATAAGTCATCATGTATATAATTCCTGTTATATTGAAATATTAACTCGTAGTTTTCATAGATAGGTAAAATGGTAATGAAACTGAATAGGATTGAATAAATTAATCTCTAATATGCCCACCTTATTTAGGAATATTGTTATAAAGTATTTTAGTGATTGAATGAGGGAGATTATATTACCATTTTGGTTATTAATGGTATCTGCAATTTGAATGAACTTTAAAACTTCATAAAGATGTATGGGTGTGAATGTACATTAATTGCCAGTATTTTCTACTGAGATTTGTGCATGATGAGATGTAGGTTGTTATGTATTAACCCTCCTCGGGCTGGTGAGCACCTTTCAGGTGTCTGGTGCACCTCTCCATATTAAATGTAAAAGTTATAATTCTAATTCTGTTTCAATAATTTTTTAAAATTTATATTTTGTCATTTTATTTAATACAATTTATAGAGAAAACTGAAAATGTTCAAACTTGTATATCTGCAAAGGTCTTAGGAGTTTCATTTGTAAGCAAGGATTTTTTGATTTTTTTCAGAATTTTTCTGACCATCCTAAAGCATAGGTTTATATTTTGTAAGAAACTATCTTCTCTTGAGAATATAGTTATCCGTATTTTGTTTCTCGCCTAGTTTTCCTTTTCTTTCCCTGCTTTTAGTACTACACACCTCCATTTATAACATTTCATGATCTTACAACATATCATCCGAATAATTAATAAGGAAGCTCAGCTTTGAAAATAGTTACAGGCAAAGTATAAATACCATTGGATAGAACAGAATATAAACAGTATAAAGTGATATGAGAAGTAATTGATTGTCTCATGGGAAAGTGACAACTTATAATTCCTGCTGAGAAGCACAATTGAATCTAATGGGAAATTTAGAAGACTTGGGAACAAACCACAAACCTGGGTATATTTTTATAGTTTCTTTACATTTATTTTTGTTACTGAAAATGTTTTAATGGTTAAATGCTATTTGTTTGAAAGCTATGAAAATGTTATTCTGTGACAAGACATAGGTAAAACTTATTTTGTTTGAAAGAGTACAGAAAGCAACAGCAAATTATTCTGGTGATTAAAATCCTTATTTATTATGTATTATTGTTAAGTTTATCATATTCACACGCTAATAAAAGAAATGATTGTTTATTGAAAATAAATTTGTTTTTTATTAAATGTAAATTTGACCTTATACCATTTTGAAAGGTCAGTTCTAGACCACTTATAAACCTTTGTCAGTTTCTGAGGTGTTTTTTTTTTGCAATTTATAGCTGGAAGTGCTAAGTATTGCAATCAGCAAAATAAATTAACAAATAATTATGTCATTGAATAGCAATCAAGTTGAAACTGATTAGGTATGTAAGATGGATCTTTCTTATCAATTTTTTTAGAAAAAGTTGAAATTCAAAATGAAAGGAAGTATTTTTAATGTTTTTTTCAAAATGATCTCATGTCAAAATTGGGGGAAATTTCCCAACATAAAAATTATAGAAAAACTTAATCAAATTATACAGTTTTTTTCAGCTGAAACTATATACTATTTAGTAAGTATTATAAGTTTCATATAATGTGGTTGACAATTATTACTGTGAGAAGGAAAAAATTCAAGGGATATCAATGTCACCCTTCCAGTTTGGAAAGAGTTAAATAAAGTGACTGAGATTAACCTTTCTTTTTGATAACTCAGATTCTGAGATGAAAAGGTAACTTTTTTTTTGTTTTATAGTTTATCACTTTTTGTAGGGCATCTTCATAAAAAGCTCATTGAAAACAACTATTGTAAATATATTTTTCTTCTTCCTTTGAGCACCAACATGCTCATACTATTATGCTTTAGCTAAGATACTGCATTACTAATGTTTTGTGATTCAAACTGAAATAACAAAACTAACACAGTAGCAAAATTTCATAGCCTTCAGATTTTTTGTGGCTAAAATGTCAAAAACTTGGAAGCTGTTGCTTATAAGTTGTTTTTGAATTCTATTTCATCATTTTTTTTGTGACCCTTTGCTCTTCATGGCATAAAAGGTGTAATTTCATGCAACAAACTTTAGTTCATAATTTCTGAGAGAAAAAAAAAGTTACTGGTAATTATTGAAAAAGCTTTTAGTTTTTCAAAGCTTACTTACTAGTTGGAGTACAAAATTTTTTTGGTTAAATTAAATTAAAAAATGATATAAATGGCCCAAAATATGCAAGTTATTCATTAACATTTTAATTACAGTATTCAAAATCAGTATTGGTGAACTGTCTTCTAAATCCATGGCAAGTTTGAATATATCTTAAGGTAAAAAAAAAATTGTGCATACTATAAAAACCATTCAGAGTTTTGTTTTAATTTAAATTTTTCTTCAAATACTCAGGATTATTTTAAACTTGTACACAATTCTGTCCAGCATAAGTACTATTAATCATACTCTATAATAATTTTCTTGCATGTTTTTTGTTAATGTATTACAACAGTTCCGAAGTAACACGATGCACTTGACTTGAAAGTAGCCAGTGAGAAGTACTTACTCATTTGTTGGCATTGTTACAGCAGTGCAATATGTGGCCAGTGTAACCTTCTGACACTTGGTTATTAAGCTGGAAACTTAAAATGAATAAATAAATTGTATTCATAGAAAGGTTATGGCTCAATAGAACCAAATGTGATAGTTTTAATGATTTTAGTTTACATTTTATTCCTGTACTGGAAGTGAGGCTTTTATTTGTAATGTTATATGTGGTGGTAGTTTAAATATTTTACTGAAACTTTTTTTTTAATTTTTTTGTATAAGGTGTGTGTATATATATATATATATTTTTTTCCCCCTTAAAAAGGATTACTTTATCATGTTAGATGCTTTAAAGTTTAGCTTTGCATACAGACACTAAGATGTCAGGGACAAAAAGAAAAAAATTGGGTAAATTTGGTTTAGAACAATATACTGGAATGCTGTATTCAGTAAAGGTTTTTGTGTTACTTTTACATGCAGTCATAAACTTTAAAAATCAATGAATCAGTTACTCTGAAAAACCAAAGAGAATTTTCATGTGTGTTATACAGTAGAAAGTATCTTATTAAATTACTACTTGTATCATATTGTTAGTTCTTTCACCGCCATGGGCACACATGTCTTCCTCTATAGCAGAAAGGGTATTCTATTCCCATTCAAGTTACCCTGTGTCTTTATTCTTATTGTGTACCTAAAAATAAAACCAGCACTGGTACAGATGTTTATCTGTAATTGTTGCAAAGAAAGAATTACTTTTGGGATAAGTCCAAAAGTCTCCAAAATATGATGCAGTAGGGTTTCCCAAACAAGGATATTTCAAAGTTACTTAAGTATCTGGTATTATAGGAGTGTGTGTATATAATTTTTCTTCCAAATGGATAATTCAATGCAGTTGAATTGTTCATTTTTATTTTCTTGTGAATTGATTTATGATCAATTATAGTTCTCAGTATTTGTGTAGGTCCAGCTTTATCAAAAATATAGTTTTGTGTTCTGATGATCTGGTTTGCTTATTTATTATCAGGAGTTCTTAATAATAATAAACTATGTACTTCAAGCTTTTAATATTATAGAGGAATGAAATGTGATAGTTTTTGATGTTTAGGTCTATATGATGTTAGCATGACACATTGCCAAATAAATATTTATTCTATCAGAAGCTGAGTAAATCTTTTATTTTTTAACCCAGAATAGATGGTAATAATTGAAATACATTCAATGTGTTTATTTTCTCTCCCTCTACAATTAATGCACTTCAGATCAACCAGAAAAGTTGTACTACACTCTTAGCATATACACACTATTATTCTTAACTGATTTCACTTACAGTACCTAAACTGATGTAATTAATCTTTAAGCTTCATAAAGTAATAGTAGTATTCCATATATTTCTTTATCAGTGATGTATTTTAAAATGCTTTTCACAAAACCTGTTTTTCAAGTACCTTCACTAACATTGCTCTGCCACACATACTTGAAATATTAACTTATTATAAAATTGACAACAAAAGCTGATAAAAATGTTCAGAAATTCCAACACTCAAAATAAATTTTGAACAGAAATATGATAATTTCACAAACGCATATTCTTAAATGTAAAAAAAAATTGAATTAGATGAACTAAGAGAACATGTGATGATAAACCCCATTAAACATTACACCAGTATACAAATAAACAAAGAAAAAAGTTATATTACTGATCAAGGTACAAGACAAAGTTGATTTATAGTGTTTTAGTTATAGCAATTACAGTTTTGATTGGTCAATAAAAGAGCATATTGTTTAGTATAAACACTAGTTTAATTAATTAGTCTAATTGTATATAAATCAATAGTCATTAATAAATGTCTTATTTCGTTCTCATTAAACACAAGCCTGTCTCCTTGACTCTCTCATGTAAACTTCCTCTCTTAAGTTGGTGACCTTTGTGCTTCTACATCTTTTACATTTCCTTTGTTATTTTAATAAAATACCATTGTAATTGACTGTCCTAACTGACAGTCCATCAGACTATTAACAATAGAAATCAATACTTAATGAGAATATTTCTTAAATTTAAATTTTGAGCCGGATTTGAATTAACCAGAATTTACTAAAATATTAATAAATATTTAAAAATGAATGAATTACAACCATTTAACTATAAATGATGTCCAAAAAAGTACAGAAGTAGATAACTATTGAACTTCTTGTAGATTTGTGTTACTAAAATCAAGGACAGAAACAAATTATGAAAAAACTCGGAGAAAAATAAAATGTTCAAAAATTCCATTTTTATTTAAATAATGTCATAGATACAAGTGTCTTATAAACACTATTTCTAAGATTTTCCCCTATATAGTTACATTTATACAATTATTTAATATGCCTAAACCAGATAGTCTAAAATTTTCATTAAACACAGTGAATCTTAATAATCCACATGTTAAAAGATTTTTTAAATTTTGATTATAAAGGTAATAGTGAACTACTGATGATAAGTTTCTATGTTAAAATTATATGTGACAATAACTTGAATAAACTGTATAATAGGAACTATGGCAAATGAAGTAGTGTAGGGTTATAGGACAACAAGTTATGTGTAACATTTTACGTCTAGGACATTATTGTTAATATTTATCATCAGATGCTAATATTATTAAATTCTAGTGCTACAGCTACATCACAAGTCTTTAGACAAATCTTCCCTGTCTTTGAATTGTTTATCTACGGCCTTCGACAAGGCAGGTAGGAAACAACGTAAAGTTGTGACTCCTCTCTGGAAAAGTAAGATCTAGATTATTCTTAAAATAAATTTATACCACATTTTGATTATAATCCTGATAATTTATGACCTTAAAAAATAAGTGAATAAATAAGCATGTGACTGTGACAACTGTTAGGAGATATGTTGGTCTCTGTTATAAAAAATATAAAATTCTGCTACCTCTCCTACCTTAATTTTTCCAAATATGATAAGAATGCAGGCTAGACTACAAACATTTTCACTTATACCTTGTAATAGTCCACCACAATTTAGACAGTTCATTCTTTTGAAGAAAAAAAATCTTGATATACAATTCGTCCAAGAATTTTGGAAACATTTGAAAAATACCAGGAAAACTGGTTAATATAGAGGTACACATATTGCATTTGCAAGAACAATGTTTAATTTTTTTTACAGCATACAATCACCATAGTTCAACATGCACACAATGAGTTACATACAAAATTTCCAGTCAGCAACCAATCTCTTCCCAAGTGTTTTGCAACATTCCAGGAGTAAGTTGGTGCTTTAAACATTATTCTTGCACAGGCAACAAACTTTCTCTCTATGTTTAATAGTTTTCTTGGCATGATTTTTTTAAAGTATGTGGGTGTGTTTTTCTTATAGGAAAGCCACATCGGGCTATCTGCTATGTCCACCAAGGGGAATCAAACCCCTCAATTTGGCATTGTAAATCTATAGACTTACTGCTGTTCCACTGGGGGACTTTTTAAAGTGTTTCCAAAATGTTTGGGCATCTTTTATGTTTTGAAGTTTCTCAAATTATGATACGGTCACCAATAAATTTAAAAAAATCAAATTTTCATTTTCCATTATACATAGTACATGTAAATATTACATCCTAGTAAGGGCTAATCTCACTTCATAAGAACAATGTTACGTGTTTTGTGCTGTCCTTGGATTTTCTAAAGTCCATGGTAAATTGTACCTAAGGAATACCCATGGTAATGCACTACTACATCAATTTACATTGTAACAAGCTTCTGCAAAGAACAAAATCAATCTTAGACCACACGTTGTAACAGACTTTCCACATACCGTCTATTGCACATAGTATTTGGCTTCCAAAACCAAATTTAAGCAAACATAATACACCAGTTATCCATGGATGTGCAATTGCGTGATTTCACAAGTATGACAAAGAAAGGAATAGGAAGAACACTGACATCATCATCCAAGATATACATAAGAACTACTATGGAGTTATTTCATGAAGTTTAAATTACCATTATATAAGAAATACTTGGCAATCATAAAGCTCAATGAAAAGGTTTTCTTTACATTCTCTGCATCAAGTTAAAAAATTCTACAAACCTCGTGGTCTGCAGCAAATCACCAATTTCTTGTTACAATCATTAGGCTATACCTGATATTACAAAAAACTTCTATTTAATGTGTAATCAATTTCTGAATGAATGAATGTAGATTTCGTGATGATCGTTCTGCATCCTTTAGCAATGGTAATGGCAGACTTGAATATGGTGAGATACTGCTTAGATGCTTTTACATCCTTATATAAGGGTTCTGATCTGCCTTATTGAAGCTCTGAACCAAATATATAGGTAATAAACACATTACCTTTCGTGCCAGCACATTTCTTTATTAGTATATACAAATCATTCTTATGAAATGTGATTAACTCTTTGTGTTGTATAGTCAATACAGTTGAAACTAGTTTTACCATTGAATTAAGTAACCATATAAATGTGATTTTGAAGAAGAAACCCTAAAACGACTTGCAAATCTTGTTTAAGGTAACATTTATTTAATAATGTATACAAATCTAAACGAAAGGTCGTTTGACATCTGCATTTGGGATGATGTCTGATAGATGGAATATTCCTCAACACTTTTGGGAGCAATGACCACAGACATTTTTCATGATGAGTTAATGGTAATGACAATGACTGGTAATTGTAAAAGTCTTACTGTGAATGTTTTGGCTTTGAGTTGTATTAATTTCATTATTGTCATATAGTGCTGATTGGATCATCTATTTATAATACTAAAACTATTGATTTACTTGTATATATATATGTATTGTGAATTAAATAATAATCAATACTCCTTCAGAGAAAAGTTGCAAACTTACCTGAATGTGCAAAGCATAAGCTAAAAAAGGGAGTTTTCGAAGTGTTCGACCACTTAGTCCCACACTTTTTCTGGAAGAAGAAAAAAAATTCTTTGGTTATGCTTACATTTCCTTCACTGAAAAAAAAACAAAAAACAGCAGCTTTGGAACTAAAGGTTAAACCAATTGTTAACTTTATCTGAACTTAAAGACAAGTTTATACAACGAGCCATCACGGCAATGAATATCACAGCAGAAGTTTTATTAAAAAGGTTTAGATGGAGGATTCTAATTCATCTACCCACTTTAACACCACAAGGGGGAGGAGGAGTAAAACCTTTCAAAGAAATCACAGAACTGTGCTAAGACAACTTTGCTACATTTTTAATATATTCCTAGTATAACAAAATTATCATTAAAAACGGATAGATTAATTATTTGATGAAAATGACAAATGGTGCATGTTTGGGTTAGAAAACCATTGTCTTTTTTGTATAATGCCATATTAAACTAAAAATTGTCAAACTTAAAAACAAGAATGTCAGTGAATGGATAAAAATTATCAACATCCAATAAAATAGTAAAAAATAAATGTAAATCAATAGAGAAAGATCTATAATAAGCAATATTACCTTGCTACTTGTTGGAGCACATTACTAAGGGATACCATATCAGACATGTTCTCATAATTTTGACTTCTAAGAGAAGTTATTGTCTCATCAGGGTATAAGATTCCAGTCTGATAAAAAAAAAGGAAGATAAAACTTTAGTATTAAAAGTACAATATTCTGTAAATAATGTAAACAATTGTTGAAATAATTTTATTTCTTACTTTACAATCCAGTGACTGCTTTGTTTAAATCTACCCACCAGTGACTTAACATATTCATTCAAAATAAATTGGCCTCCTTCAATTATAATCACTAATACTGTTTTATACAAACACAGTTTTTCTGCACAAAGTTATACAAAATTCAAACATATGAATATTTAATATATTGAGAAGGTATCTTCCTGATGTTAGTTACCATTTTTTATAATTTTCGATAATTCAATTAACAAACAATTACATGTTATACCACAGGTATATAAGTTAATTCAGTATTTTTCATTGAAAAAACAAGTAGGTTAATATTTGATAGAGGTGACAAGTGGTTAATGAACTGGCCAGACAATATTTACAATACTAGGCTGTAAGGTTTTGGTACATGTTTAAATGTTAAAGTAAAATATTGTGGCATAAGTGTTTAATTACATCATACTGTAACGTAGATAACTATAGTTTTTTTTTAATTCATTATTTCTTAAACTGTAAAATGTAGCATGTTGATTTGTTTAGACATCCCAATAAATTATTTTATTCTGACAAATCAGAGTTCACCTTAGATAAGTTTTCTGGCACTGTCAAACTAAATTTTTTGGTGTGTAATTGGCTATTCTTTAAGGAAAAGTTTTGGTGTAAAACATAATCATCATCAAAAATGGCCCAATGCTGTATGAATAATGTGGTTACCAACATCTTGACTGTAGTTTGTTTATAACTTTTGAATTGTAGCAGGATTGCTAAACTTCATATATGTAGTATCTATCAGTACTGAGCCAGTTCAAATTGTTAATATTTTCTGGTTTTATTTCCCTTATAATTTTTATCATTTTAGAAAGTTATTTCTGTATAGACACTCTCAACTTTAATAAATGCAAGTCCTACCTTCATTTATAGCTCATAACAGACAGTCGAAAGATGAATAAGCATTTAATATTAGTTCCACATTTAAATAATTCAATATTACTTGGCAGACAGTTCTTCATATGTTGTAATGCAAACCTTTTGGAAATACAAACAGTTTTAAGTGGTATATGACTTCTGAGATTCAACCCACTGTGGCAGTATGTGGAATCTTCTAAATGCTTGCAACAACCTTTGAACAGCAAATGATTTTTTTTTGACAATTAATAATGTATTAATGTCAATAATACTAACCCATATAATACTTTTAGTATTGTGCATACATCACAGAAGCTTACAGGACACCAACACACACTAGTAAATACATTGACAATAAATCAAACACTCCAACAGGTTAAAGACAGGCATCTTAGACTGTCTAGTTTCCAGAATAAAAAATATTTTTAATATTGAAGAACCTAAGAAGAAGGAAGAAAAACATATTACCACAACCCTCCTTAACAATGGATAACAAGCACACTTAGTGGATTTGAAATATGGAAATTCATACTCAATCAAGCAGTGTATATGCAAGATTAGGCAAAGGCTGAATAGGTCAATGAGAGAAAAATTTGTGTAAAAATTTTTCAATGACAGTGTGAGTGTGGGAGGAATAAAAGGAAGGATAAAAGCTTGATTAGTAACTAACCACGAAATGAAAACTATCACATCCCATGTATAAAGTCACATCCAGCTACTTAATACTTCATCTGCCAGCCAAAAACCTATCACCTATCGTACCCTCTAAGACACTAAACCTAAAAAATGCATGTGGGGTGAATAGAAACATTAGTTTCTGATCGCCCCTGATTTGTCTTACAGGTCTCTTTGTGGCTTGTGAGATTTAAAAATCAAAATGACTGTAAAGGATTGGATTATTCAATCAGAGAAAGAGTTACATATTTTTACTTCTATTTGTTAAAAAAACAACAGTATACGAGGGTAAGGCTGATATGGAGATTGTTAACTTTCAGCATATGATAACAGACAGAATCAGAAGACTTCTGTACATCGAGAAAATGCTAACAGTGAGTGTTTCAAGTTAAAACCTTTAATATATTCAGTTAATCTTACCAGGTGAACAAAAATATGTCTGCTTTTTTGATAGGAATTTTTAACCTGAATGAGAAATTCTTGGTAAATGGGCAATGGGAAATCATTTTTCCAGGAGTTTTGCTAATAAATTTATAACTAGAAGGTATTTTATTAGGTTTGCCTTCTTTCCCAATTACAATGTAACTGTAGAGTGTTATATGATCAGGAGATACTTGGAATAGAGATAAATTAAAAAGGGAGAGCAAAAGATGCAGGGAAAGTGTTTAAATATGAGATTGGAGATGTGGTTGATGTCAGGAGAAGTATTTTTCAACTTTTGTTTTCAGGGTGGCTTTAATTTTGGTTGAACAAATAAGTTTCGCAAGGGGATCATTATCATCTGGGGTACACATACTAAAAGTATAAATCTGGGAAGAAAAATATGCAAGTTAGTAACCATAAAAATGATAATTTGGAATGTGTCAAATTTACCAAAAGAATTATGTTCAGGTGTAATAAGAGAATGTCTTAAGTAATAAATGCTGAGAACTTACTATTATTATGTGAGATAGGAGGGAATTCACACAGAACATGTATCACTTTTGAATAAGTAGCAGTGTTTACTAGATTACTAGACCTAGTGCTGTTTGCTACCTGATCAGTAACCGTGTTACTTTCATGCAATTATAATATTAGTTTCGTCTAATTTGTTTTGACAATATATAGTGCAGACCAGGAACGTGGCATGTGTAGTACACAGTAGTCCAAGTGCACCACCAACTTTAAAGATGTGTACCACATGTACTATCAAAACTTGTGTGTTTATTACCAAAACTGTTCCATTGCTTGAATATTGTATTAGCATAATTACACTCCTTCAGCCAACACTGCAATTGAGAAAGTTTCCTTAATGTTACTACTAGTCATTCGTAATGAATCATCATTGGCTAAGGTTTTAGTCTATAATTTTGGTCAATGGGAAAAATTCTTATCACTCCTAAAAATTTTCTTCCTAAGGTAGTGACTTGGTAAGGAACTAACAAAAACCTCAAGATATATATATGTTTAGTTTTATAGTTCATTTAATCTGTTGTCAAAAAGTGAAGTTTTGTCATATACAGTGAAACCCCGATTTTAACGTGATGGGTCATTAACTCTTTCGACACGGGCAAGGATTAGTTTTTCGCTCAGTTTTTTAAGAAATAAACTGCAAATGATGATTGTTAATATTCTTGAATGTTTTTATTTGTTGTTTTGTTTATTACAAAGCCTACTAAAAATAATTTGTGTTTTAATTTCTACTGTAACAACAATGATTCATTTGCAAAATTCTTTAATTCAGAGGAAATTTACTTGCCAGAAAGGGAATGTGTAAAAAACTAGTCAAAGAGGGCAAAAATAGATGTTTTAGGATGTTAGGTCAACATTGGGTCAGTTTGAACAGTGATTTTCTTGAACCCTGATTTAGTGTGACCCCGCTTGTTTCGCGATGACATTTTATGGACCCCAATGATCGCGTTATAATGGGGTTATACTGTATTACTCTGTGAAGTTCCACATTTATGACAAATACATTTGAATTTTGTAACATTTGTATTTTCTTTACTGGCATTAATCTGTAATTTATGTTTATGAATGGTAGAATGGAATCAAGAATGAATTCGTTTTCAATATTTTTTTTAAGGTTTAGAAAAGGTTTACTCTGTTAACTTTTGTTTAAGCCTTTAGTATTTTATTGAAGCATATTCAAGTAAAAATAGCAATTTCATTTGAACATATTTTAAATCAAGTAGAGCCTCAGATTTTATTATAGGGCATTTTCGAAACCCTCCCGCTTCCAAGGACCCCTCCCATTCAAATTTGTTTTTCTCTACATAATGGGTGCAGCTAATTTTGTGATACACCACCAGCTTATGGAGCCCCTGTTGCAAAATTGACTAGACAATGGAATAAATTTTAACACCAACCAGCTAACATACACTTAAATTGTTATTTTTCTGCTGTACAGTTTTAAGTTTAACAAATGTTACCATTTCACATTTGTCCTCATGAAAGCCATTTTGGGTTTGTTCTTAAAGCTACTCACCCTCTGAAGTTCTTCTATACAAGACTTGTAAATTTGATATATAGCAGGCATGGATGGAAGCCCTATGTATTGCTTTATGTCTGCTCGGTCTACAAAGGCCAAGTCAATTGCTTCTGTGACATTTGAAGTTGTGAGAATAATCACATTAGAATATCTATCAGTAAACCAAAAATGCTCACATTAGTGTACAAGAACAGTTGCAAAGTAATAAGAACATATATAAAGCACATTCAAGTTTTATTGGTGATTTAATAATTTTTTAAATATGGTATAAGGAAAAACACTGAAGATTTAATTTGACCAATGTTTAGAATCCAAATGAAAGCAGAATATAACATACACATATACATTTTATTATGACATGTACCTAGTACTCAGAAATAAAAAAAAAGTGAAAATAAATAATGATAGTAAAACAAACGTTTTGTTTAAGCAATCTTACCATTTCAATGCACAGATTTAGTAAAAGAAAGGAACATTGTTTTGTATACAAAAAAGTTCATCTTTGAAAACCAAACGTCCACTGCACCACTCTTCTCTCAAATTTTAAGAGAGACAAACACCATATTATTACTTTATGGTCATTACACTATGATCATAAATCATTAATTAAAAATCCAAAATATATGTATATATATATTACATTTTATAATAAGCTTACTGGTGCATGAAACCATTTTTAATAGTGGAAATTGTACAACAAAATGAAGTGATATGTTTGTTACTGGGTGAATCATACGTTTTTTGTGTTTTAGCTTCATCTTTATGAATAACTTATAAAACTATCTATATAGGTCACATATAGTGAGGCCTTTGACAGTTGTACTCTCACCTCCTAATACGGTCAATTTGACTTAGCAGTGCATTCACAACTCGGATGGCATCAGATGGTTCAGTTCCACCAAAGGAAGCTTTCCGAGCATGGGCCAAACTTTCTACCTTAACAAACAAAAACATAAAAATAAATAAAGAAAAGAAAATTATTATAAAATTAAGCTTCTTTAACAACAACAATAATAACAAATCATCTATACAGAAGCCATGTGTGTTAATTACAAGTTTTTCAAACAGAAATACTATCTTAATTTAAAATATTGTAACATACAAGTAAGTCGTGATACTGTGAGCTGCAGGTACATTTCAAAATTTCTTAAAAAAAAAGCTTTATCCTTTATCATGTTAAATTAGAAGTTGCAAAATGTTTTGAAGTGATGATAATAATAATGCCAACTCTAAAAACAAAACTCCCGGTTTGTTTGTTTTTTTGTTAGAATTTGTGCATAGCTACATGAGGGCTATTTTCAAAACCCTTTCTTTTATTTTATTACAGAAGTGGGATGCAAACCAAAGAACATCAGCTCCACAGTCTGGCATGCTAACCACTCAGCAGCACTATTCCATCTCAAAGAGAAGTGTTAAAAAGAACTAGTTATCTATAAACATTATATTAAAGTTATTTCAAAAACGTATGAAACTTAGTTTATTTCACAATTATGCTGAAAAAGTTTCTGCTACAATAAAGAAGAGAGCAAAATTCAATCATTCAATGTATGTACGTACAAATGTATCTATTAAGTACAATGTTTCTCACTTTATATACATGAAAATTTAATATGTGAAATAGATGTAGTTGTTAATAATTGCCTTTACTTATAATAGCTATTAAATTCTATAGCCATTTTTATTTAGATGGCTTAAATTAAGAAGAAAAAAAAGAGAAATAGTTAGAGTATCATAGGTAACTCCTACTTATACTGATACAGAAATACATCAATCTCCTGTGGTTTTTATGGATCAATAAAACAATCCAAAATATCAAAAACATATAAAACTCACTTCATCAATCAAAACAAAAACAAGTGCTTCCGGGTCATCTATAAGTTCCTGAATTTTTGTAAACATTTTCATCACCAGTTTACCACTCTAGAAGAAAATATATTGAAGTTACAATAAATCACTAATACATTACATTAAATATAGCGACATTTATTTTAATGCCACTTTACACTACAGCTGGGCAATTTAATTGACTACCTATGAGCAGCAATTATACTGATTAGTGTCACATAAACTAATCATTTAAAACAAAATTATGATTAAATCAATTAATCAAAACTAGTGTTTTTGATTATTCCACCAATCAATTCAATGAAATTCCAGTTATATCAATTGTCACAAAAATAATCAACTCATCAAAATTATTTCTGCTTATTCCAACAACCCAAGTAATCAAAATAGTATTATATTTGTTTGTTGTTAATCACAAAGCTACATATTGAATTACTCATGTTCTTTGCAATTTTAGCTTTATAAGATGCTATCTTTTACATCAAGTTTGTTCAGCTTTGTTGATTTGGGGGGAAATCATGATCTGATGGTCTTGTGTTGATTTCCATTGCCACCAAACTTGCTCACTCTGTCTTGCTATGGTAAAATTACTAAGGCTATCTGCTGCCACTGTCACTAGTTTTGAGCTGTTGGCTAGAGGAAATGCAACTGGCTGGTAGTACATACCATCAACATTTTTTTTTTGAACTACTGATTAGGCAGAAAGCAAATGATTAGCATGGCAGCACCTGCTGCAAATTCTTTGAACTACTGACTAGAAGAAAGGCAACTATCTGGCAGCACCCACTGCCAACTTTTTGTTTTTTTTGCTTGTGTGTAATAAGGTTTGAGGAATACTGTACTAACTGATCAATAGAGCCATCATTTAACTGATTAGCACTATGCCATCTCAAAGAGAAGTGTTAAATAAAACTAGTTATCTATAAACATTCACACCAACAAGTGACCAACTAGATCAAAACTAGTGGTTATCATGGATTGTTAAAATTTCAATTAGATCACTGAGATACTGACTGTGATTGGCTGTTTAAGTTGCCAAATTTTGGATACAAAGTGTATAAGTTTGAATAATTTTTCTTGCTTATGTGAGATTTTTTGAGAACTTGATCATTCAGACCACAGTCTCCTCTGAAGTTGAGTTTCTACAGATGAATGTTTACTGTTGAGCTGTTTGACTAAATTGTGATCCCAATTTTAACATACTATTATAATTTTGAAGAATAGAGCATAACCTTTTCTATAAAACTTATCTAGACAGCAAGTGAAAATTGATACATCTTCTTTCTTTCTCTTTATATTTTTTTATTTTAATCATATTTATTTCATATATTAAAGATTTACTAACCAATCTTAAAACAATTTCTGAAATTAAACTAAAAGGGGGGCTTAGGTATTTTAATAACAAACCTAAAAATTAAACTGGAATCCATGATACAATTACTTATTTCTATTTATGATTTTGTAAAGAAAGTATATACATTATACTTAGTTCAAATTTAGTAAAAGGTTAGTTAGAAATAAATACAAAATAATGATAATAAATACTGAGATACAAATTTCTTATTATGAGCATAAATCAAACCAAAATTACTACATCAATATTTACCACATAAAGGAAATAATTTATTATCTTGTAAAACCTATTTAATTCTAGTGCATTTCCAACCCAAGCTCAATCAAGTACTTTAGGTTAATGGCCTACCTAAAACTCAAAAGGTTATATTTTCTATTCTGTAACTAACTTCAGAGTTTCAGCATACCACCCTTTAGCTAGGTATCTTGTAGGTACATTACCATTATTAACTGATAAAACATCATCATATATTAAGAAATCCATCCATTTTGTAGAGATTATAAAAGAAACCATCATAATCTCACAAGACACAATTATTAGCTTTGCTGTATCCTCGTGTAAATTTACTAACCCACTAAGAAAAATTTCTAAAATAAAATATTTTACAAAAACAATCAACAATTTCAATATTTCCATCCCCTCAATAGTTATCACATCATCTAGCACTTCAGTGGCTAACTGTATAGTTATTTGAAGATAAAAAAATAAACATCTGTTAGCCTAGTCATAAGTAACCTGTCTTTAAATCAGTGAATTTAGGGAGGTGGAGAGCAGGGAAGCTAAAAAACTTTCAAAGACAAGCTATAACAATAACTATCTAACAAAAATATTTTAATGGACAGTAAATGTATCTTTAAGTTCAAGGTATGCACTGTATAAACTACAAAGAGATTCTCATGAACATCTCTAGCTGAATATAGATTTTTATTATAATGATAATTCATAAAGCTAGCTTTAAACAGTAGTAGAGTCATGCTCCTTAACTGTTTCAACACAAACATCAATACTTTATGCTATAAAAAAACATTATGTAAAGTCCCTGTAGTTATATTTATTTTTCATCACAGTGAAGTTGCTGTTTTATACAGATGACTATAACCATTTCTATGCTCAATCTAATTATTATTTTTATTGTTTTATGCTTTATTTTGGTTAATTTATGCATTCAACTGTTAAGGGTTATCAACAGCATCAAATAATGGAGAAGAGTAAAATGAGAGTTAAAATGCTTTAATAAGGTGAAACCTTTTTGCTTAAAAGTCCTGTAGAATAGGAGATTTGTACAAGTATCTTAATGCAACAAATCTAACCTATATAAAAGCCAGTGTGTGTCACTCATGTCACACTTGCTTTCTTGAAATTGGTGGAGTCATAAAGTCCAAAATGCATCTATCCAGATAGAATAGTTCAATTACTTTCTGCCCATTACAATTTTAGTGAAGGGGTGCAAGGGGGCCATAAGGTAGTGAAACCTTATAAGTGCAATGAGTGTTGGTATAATAAGCCAAAAGTAGTGTGGGATCACCTAGCCTAGTAGCAAGTGCATAAAATTTATCATGAAAGAAAAAAATATTGATTCAATTTTAAACTTAAATCATTTCTGAATTAAGCTATTTTCTTTCATATCACCAACGTTTTTAATAAAAAAAACATCTCTTTAATCAACAGAGACTCTAAATTAAGAAATCAACAAATATTTTCCCAGTTTTTGTTGTCTCTACATTTCATTTTATACTTTCAGTACACAGACTAACAACAATATTAGGTTATAATTTTGTTGTTAAGCAACATGACATAAAAGCCATTGTTGGAATGTAATGTTAGCAAAACAAAACACACTGGCTTTTCTATATATTAGAAGTTGTTAACCTAACCGATTTTTACCAATAATTATTCTATGAATACACCATGAATTCCTTTCATGAATGATCTTAATTGATTGGCTCACAAAGGAATTTACCAACATTTGACTGCCTCGACTGCACTTTTCTGCCTCTTTTTTGACCAATTTTGATTTCACAAACTATATTTATTTCAGTTAGCTATGAAATGTGAGGTTAGGTTGGGGGTGGTAGTACTTGCCCTGTCATTTTTGATGGGCTATACGCTAATTATTATTTAAACATCACCCATATATATATGTATGCAGTCCTAAATATAACAAAAGTCCTTGAAAATGTGACATTCCATAAGCGTAATCATTCTTTTTACACTTAAACTGCAACACCTAAGTCATATTTTGTAATATTTCTATAAAACAACACTGTAACAAGATATCTGAATTTAATCATAAAGTATTTTGAATGCTCAACTGCAAAAACAAATGCATACTAGATATTGCTATGATATGTCCATCAATTTCTCTCACAAATCATAAAAGACAATAACAAAATACCTCAGAAAACCACTTGGAAAACAGACTGTGACTATTGATTTCAATTAGCTGCCCATAAGAGTACTTCTTATTGAGTCTGATGGTAATTTTCTGTGCTAGGGCTTTGCAGAGAGATGTTTTCCCAGTCCCTGGGGGACCTAAAAATTAATTTAAATAAAACAGGTTCTTTGTCTATAAGACAACAATGATACTATTTTACTTAATGGTGAATAAACTCAAAATTCAAATATCATTTCCATTTTTTGAAATCTATGTACATTTCAAATAATTTTATTATTATTATTATTTGTGTATAACATTAGAACAGTACAAAATTACTAATATATTTAGTATACACAACAACAACATGCTAAAATATCCCTAAAATGCTATTTGTTAATAACTATTCTTTTACACAGCCATAAAAACATATCTCTATTAAGTATAGAGGTAGAAATAAATATTTCTTATATTGTAGAGAACCTACACGTTAAAAAGCTGTAACTTGATAGACGTATAAAAGCTAGATGTGAATAAACCTATTACATACCATGGAGTAAGACTACCCTGTTCCATGTTATAACATTGGGGTTCACATTCTTTTCTGAGAACAACAAAGTTGTTGTGACAAAATTCAGCAACTAATGAAAAGAAAGTCCACTGATCAAAGTTTGGAAAATTTTAGAATGAGAAGTAACATCAAATAAAAAATTAACCTAAATATAAACCAGTTAAGTGCACTAAATAAATATACATGGCATTGGATCCATTTAAATAAAAATCTATATAGGTGTATGTTTGTAGTGTGTATTTCATGCATGTGCCATCTTATATATTGCAAACTGTGGTGTCTGTCTGAGGACTTGTCTGTCTCCTGTTTACGGCTCCCACTTCCAACACTATGTTTGAAAATCTGCACATGCAGGCAAAGCTCAATATTCACTTTTGAAATGATGTGAGAACAGGCATGAATAATGTTGATGCCAAATTTTATTTTCCAAGCAGGATACTCTATACTAAATTGTTAAAAATAAATCACACTATCATTCGCATTTCAAAATGTGATGTAACTTAAGGAATAAATATGTAGATTTACCGTATGTTATCGTTGAACATGACTGAAATGCTCAACAATTACTTTTTGTGATGGGCAGTATGAGTAGTTCAGAGTTTTGGCTCTGAGTGAAACCAAGAGTGCAACACAATTAACTTTTTTGAAGTCCATGAAATAATTTAAGTTAATAGATTAACTTAAACTTTTCCTGTCATTAGAGACAGGTACTTTTGCTTGTAATTACATAACTTAAAAACAACTGAAATCCAATTTTTCTGTTAGATCGATCACATTCAGACTAATCAATGGAAATTAGTAGCAAAACAAACTGTTTAAAAATTTGAAGAGCTAATTTCACCATAAAACAAAAGCAACAAAAGTATAAGTAATAAATATGAATGAAAAAGTTTGATTAGTATTGTGATTTCTCTTTCATCTCCTGAACCAAATATAATACTTTATATAGAGTAAGGAACATGTTAAATCTGTTGTCAGTCATGCTTCCATGTAAGTGTAAGCAACAAGTATACCAAAAGAAACAAACACATTTAGGATCCTTATAGTTTCAAGTAGACAACATAAGATGTATTACTGATGTACATTATTGTAAAAATGTCTAAAAAAGGAAAACCGTTTCCCCTTGGTAACAAAAAGTTTTATCTCCAAAACGTATACCAGTTCTTCACCTTTGAAAAATGTGATTACATTCGCATGCCTAATTTGACTTAAGAATTGTGATTTTTTTATTGCATTTATTTTACAACATATCTAACATCACTTTACAGTTGACTATTTCTGGTTCAACAACTAAGTGCTACTTAAAAAATTGCAACAAAAATAATGTATTAGTTTTCTTGAAAAGACACTTTGCAAGTGATTAAATACATGCATATTTTGTTTATATGGTGACCACCACATTAAAGGACCAGATATTAGGGGTGGAATGACAGAAATGTACTATCACTCAAAGTGCATATTGCTGAAAACAAAGGAGCAACATGCTTAGGAATGTTTATGATGCAGGTAAATATTTTTCTAAATTTGCACCTGCATTTTTCACAAGGAACTAAAGAACTGAAACTTGAAAGCATGCAATTATTGTTGTACTGGCCCCTCCACCACCTAGTTGATGAAAAATTGATGTATGAGGTTAAAGCAATAGAAGGGACATTGGATAGAGGAAGTGGGGGTCTGTACACTAAACAAAGAAGCAGAGAAAACTAAGAATGAGTTGGCCAAAGAGGTGCCACTAGGTGGACTTGACAAGGAGCGTCACATATCAAAGTGGCAACACAAGGGAGAAGTTGAAGAGAAGGATAAGCATATACAAAAAGATGATATCAAGCCTGGCTGAGAGCCAGAGATGAAGGACGAGAAACAGGAGACTAGGAAAGAGAAAGCTTCGAGTTAAGAGGAGTGGCAAAGGTGTCCATGAGAGGTGTGCCCAACCAAGAGCAAACTCAACAGGAGACATGGGTGTGGAAAGACCACTTAGTGGGTAGAACGTAGTTTGGCGTAGAGAAGCAGTCCACAACAAAGTTCATAGCTCCCAGCACATGACAAATGCGATGGGAATGAGCCCAGAAAGAGAAAGTCCAACACCCAAAAGCAAAGAGTCCTGGAATGGTTGATGTTAGAAATGACCATGGAATTGTCAGAATGGATCATGACCAAGTGATCCGTCAGAAAAGGTAGGAAATGAGAACATTCCTGAGGAATAATGAGAAGTTTAAGTATGTTGATGTGACATTCCACTCTTTTCCTGGGCCCAAATGCCAGAAGTCATGTCAGTATTCAGTAATATGTTCCAACCTAAAAGAGAGAAGCATGGGTGAAAAGATGGAGATCCAGTCTGGGGGTGGTAAGGGTATTGGTAGTATTGGCACAGTCTAGACATCATGATAGGTCCTCAGGTAGAGGAGAGGGAAGGTTCACAATTGAGTACAGAGGAATCCATTGGTCTTACAAGGTCAGTTGGAGGAGGTACATGTACATACATCCCAAAAGAATGATGGACTCCAGGGAAGTTAGTTACCAAAAGCAAAAAAAAAACTCTCATGCAAGATGAGAATAAGAAGCACAAATCTTGGTGAACAGACATTCCATGACTCACAGGCAAAGAGGAGAAGGCTGAGCTTAGCTGAGATAAGAGTTGAAGAAAATGCCCAGATGTACCAAATATTGTGTGGGCATGAAGAAGGACTTGAATAACTGTATATAAAGAGCCAATGCTATGTAAAAGGGAAGAGCACAGAATTGGTAGATGCAATTCCGATAGACAAAACATCTCAACAGAGGAGGTAATCGAGATGTGCAGAAAGGTGTCTGACACATTTATCTTGGTCATCTGCAGAGCAGGTGAAAAAGACAACTGGAGAGAAAAGAAGTTATTTAACTGCAATGATGGAACAACCAGAAATTGGTTGCAAGGCTGTATGTCGATCACCAGACACTAGTCCCAGGTCTTCTTGGGGACCACACAAGGACAAGAGAAAAATCCTGGATAAGGGGCATACATTTTCACAATGGCCTATTTGGCCAAGAGGTCCAATACCACATCCTTGAGATGCTGAGGATAGATGGGGTCAGATGGAGGAGAAAAGGAAATGGGAAGATAAGAAAGAAGTGAAGATAATTGGAGAGAGACCATTGGAGAGAACATCTGTTGGCAGAAAACCAAGACCAAGAGCAGGCAAAGAAATAGAAATGACTACCCACTGGGCCTGACTTGACAGGATAATCATCAACAAGAAGAGAAACAAACCAACTGTTGGGTAGTGGGAGGACAAGGAAAAGAGGAAAGCCTAAAAGCTGGAATTGGAAGGATACGAGTAGAATAAACTAGTCAATGAATAGGAGTCAAAGGACAAGATGAAGAAAGACAAAAAAACATGAAAAGGTAATGAGGGCTGAAGTTGTGCAACTGCAGCCTGGGTCTTCAGTGAAACATGAAAACCACCGAAGACTTTGGGGCAAATAAAGGAAGCCCAATGAAGATCACATACAGAAGAAGAAGGAAGGTGTACGTTAATGAGGAGTGCACCTAGAACCAACGAGTTCCAACAACAGAGGAACCAAGTAAGGATGGGCAGAGCAAAAGAAAACAAACAAATGAAGAAGGCAAAGAGAAGGGAACAAACCTCTCAAGAGAAACCCCATGAAGCACCCTGACAAAAGATGGAGGATGAGAGGTAGCAAAGGAGAGTGGTGAGAAAAAGATGAATATGTAAAAATGGGAAACTAGTGAGTGAAATAGAAGGCAATGTGTCTGCTCCACAAGCAGGCAAGAGAGTCCAAAGACAGGGAATCTAGAAAAAGAAAGGAATAACAATTGTAAAGACAAAGAAGTCAAACACAAAAGGGGCATGTGGGTGCAAGTGCGGAGCTCCTCGAGAAAGGAAACAGTATAAGCCCTGATATCATGCAAAGGAGGAAAAACAAAGCAACACTGAGAAATGGGTTCATGGAGCAATGTAGGGAAAATATTAAGGGATACAGGCAAAAGATAATGAAAAGAACATACTTGAAAAAGCATATTCAGAAAGAGATTGGAAGGTTTAGAACATTCCTAGATTGGTGAGACATTACTCAAAGTAAATCAGGTGAAACTCAATATCCAACTAGCTAATTACAACTGAAGAGAAAGAACACTGGCTGAAGGGACAGGAAGACAAGACCTAATAAGTATGAGATAATCCACAACACATTGAAATAAGGCAGTAACATCTCCAACAGTTAATGAGCCTCCAGAAGACATAGTAGAAATAGGGCCTGTGTGTGTAGTTTTGTCAGGCACATGGAACAAGCAAAAGTCAATCACTTGAGAATTCATGAAAATAATTAAAGCTTTTTAAACAGAAGCCAAAGAAAAAAAAATACCAAAGTTTTGTTAATAAGTGCAAATCTTATCAAATTGAACTCATATGAGTGCAAGTGCATAGGGGGAAATTACTATGCATGGAGGTTGTGTTGCCCTCTTATTGGTGGAGGGCTACTGTCGCAGGATGACATCATACACCAGTGCAGTTCATGTTAGACCTGTGAATTTAGGTGGGAGTTAACTCAAAGCTATTGGAATGCAAATCTGATAGACAGACAAATGAAGGAAATAGCATATCTGTGTGAAAGAGGTGAGTTACATCTTGGAATTGGAAGACTATGATATAATTGGAATTATTGAACCTTGATTAAATTTGAAGAACACAGATAATTTGAATTATTTTGAAGTTATACAAGTTAAATAAATTGAAATTGTACTTGTGCATATGTATACAATTAAAGGGCATACAACATTAAAATAATGTATTATTTTTTGTGCAATTACTTTAACATTGTACTCTTTTTAATTGTATAGGTTACAAGTTATTTAATAGTGATAGATTTTTTAAGTGGTTCTTTACACAAGAAACTGTTGGAGCCAAAGACACAAAATAGTAGTCAAGAGATTGAACCTATATGGGATACAGTCAGAAGTTTCAACGGTAAAACTTTTTAAACTGGAAATTGTTATAGGCTATCTGATCAGAAAGATGATGAGTAAATGAGAAATTGTGTAATGAAAGCAGCATTGTAAATAAAAGAATATTGATGCAATTATCATGGAAGACTTTAATGTTAGACACACACTGATTAGGATTGTATGTAATTAAGTATTGATTATTAGGTTTTGCTGCATGTTTAGAAGAATAAGAAATATGGTGTTTTACTTCCTAATTTTCTAAATGCCATTTTTGAAGCCATGAGACAAAATTATCTTTAATGATTTGGGATAATGAATTAAAGGATGATGTGGAGAAGACTTACAAATTTTTTTAAATAAATTCTTTTTAATTTAAAATAGGCATGTTCCAAAAAAAAAGGTAAATGATAACAGGGAAAATCAGAAACAAATACCAATGTTACTTATGATCTGAATGATGGAAACAGTGAAATGGGTGTGTATTTGGTTTTTATAAAAGCATTTAATAAGATTCAATACACAAAATTAGTTAAGCTGGTGGCAGATGGTGAAAGACTAATTGAATAGATTCTAGGGTTTCATGGTTAATATAGATGGGAACTCATTCAACATTATAAATGAAGGAAAGAAACTTGTCATTGTGGTAGATAAGTCACTCAAACCATCAAAACAGTGCTCTGTTGCTATTAGTAAAACTAATATGACTTTAGGGTGTATTTCTAGACATACTGATTACAAGTCCAAAGAGATAATTATCTCTTTATACAAATCACTGATTTGGCTTCATTAGAATATTTAGTCTAATCTCAGAACTACCACGATTTCACAAATGGAATGGTTGTCTTAAGGGGATAGGGTAAGATCTTTTACCTCATATTTTCTTGAGAAAACAAGGGTAAGAGGTAATCTTATTGAAGTTTACAAAATTATCCAGGGAATTGATATAATAAAGGATTGTTGTTTTTGTTTTGAATGCTGAAGATAGCAGAATGAGAAGATGCAAGTTTATAATTTAGAACATGCAGATTAGACTATAATTCAAACAATTTTGTTTTTCTAATTCTAATAGGGTGATTAGTTTATGGAATGAGTTGCCGTTGACAATAGTGGAGGCCAGCACCTTACAAGAGTTTAAAAGAGCAATCAATAAATTCCTGAAAAATAAGGGGTGGGTTTAAAAGTGTTATTTTTACTTTTTCTTTACCTTAGTGATGGGTGTATAAAGACAGTCTTGAAGGACCAAGTGATCCCTTGTCATCCATATGTTAAATGTTAAAGCTTTTACAGGTAATGTAAGCTCACCTGTAAGTGGATTAATGACAACTTTGGAATTCACAAGCAAAATTACATTGAAAAAATACATAAGTGTGCAGCCTGAAACCAAAGAAATCTGTAAGATGCACTGAGAAAGATCAAGTTTTAATCAATGCCACCTGGATGTATTTCAGGCAGGCAATATTTTCTCATATGAAACACTGACATTCAATTCCAAGCTGTAACCATGATGAATGTCTTGTGTTATTGTCACACAGAAACCAGCTATAGGTTGGATCTATAAAGATGCAGAGCAGCCAATGTGACTGCCTTCTGCAATTGTCAAGAAGTATTGTGTTATTGCCACAGATAAACCAGCCAAAGTTTGAACAATAAAGGTGCAGTATAGACATGATGACTTTCTTGTGCACTTGTCAATAATTCTTATTTTTGCCTCCATTTGTTCTAAAATTTTATGCATGCAAGTACAAAATTTCCAATGAATTATCACAAGCTTCGATAATTTATCTAAATGTAAAGTTAATTAAAACCAGTACCATAAATTCCAAACAGCAGGTAGTTAAAGTTTTGTACAAAATAAATTGGTCAAAAATGCAAATATTTTACAATGTACAAGTAACACTCTTGAGGAGGAAGTTTTGTTTAAACTGCATCATGGGTTCCCGTGCTACAGGCAAGCATTTAACCTAGCAAAAATGAAGAGATTTACATCACATATCATCACTTCAGTGGAACAATTTTGTGGTTGGATATACAAATGCTGATTGTATTGCTTTCTATTCATTATTCATTGAGTAAATAATTTTCGTAATAACTTTTTTATTCTTGAATCTTCTCACAGACATGCTCCCAGTTTCAGGACCACTGGTCTACAAGATGTTCTTAGAGTTGTAAATCATGTGTAAATCTCTATAAGACATACCATGAACAAATAAGACCTCTGCTTCATTTAATGTGGTATCAGAACAAATTGATAATATAGAAAAAATATTTCACAACATAATACTTTTTTTGCATCATCCTTATTAAATTATTGCTTTATGAGGATACCTGTATCTGCACAAATGTCCTTGACATAATTATACAAAAACACTTTTAAAAAGTTTTTATCCTCAATAAATGATCTTTCTGCTTAAATGAAAATGCATATATGATTTCTACACTCCTTTATGTGTGATAAACTGAACCAGAAATTTCCATGCCAAACCTGTGCTTTGATGTCAGTGTCATAAATAAGACTTTCCCAGAGCCCATGAAAGTCTGTACATGGGAGAATCCAATGATCTGCAGCAGAGAGTTCTTCTGATTCTAGATCTTCATTCTGTGGACCATCTGAATTTAAGCGATATACATAATAGCATTTGTGCACATCATGCATAGTACATTCCTGAAAAATTAATCAAACCAATTACAAAAATAATTGTAATTTTGTTTATGATTAAGTTGCTTGACCAATACCACATTTTAAATCTGTAACTGAAAATATGCCAACAGTATAAAGTACTTTATCAATCTGTCTTTTAATGATGAAATTTTGTACACACAACACTCACTATTTGGTGTTTAAATGTAAAGTCATACTAAGAAGTGCTAACTGAAATAATTTAAACATTTCATACAAAGAAAAAATTACCTTAAGCTCCAGAACAAGGTTATATTTATTTCAATCATTTCATTTCTACAACTTTAGGAATGACCTGCTACTTATACTTCTAGACTCACAATGGTAACAGACAATACAGTTTTACATTTGTTCTATAGACCACTGAAGAATATGGAAGAAGGTTACATGGATAATAATGCTTAAATCAAAACAATCATATGCAGAAAAATCAAAATCTAATGACAGAAATGTACGCATGCAGCCTAAAATTAGTGAGAATCAGTTGAATACCGATGTAAAATAAGATACTGAGCATAAAATAAACAAATGTAAAGAAAAAAAATTATATATATAAATATCATTAAAAGAAGAAAAAATTATTTCAATAGTGTGATTAAACAGAAGGAAAAATAAAGATCTATGACCATAATGCCCATCCTGTGTTACAATTTCAAGTCACAAAAAATGGGCATTATGATTGTATATCTTTGTTTTCCTTCTGTTTCATCTCACTTTTTCATCATTCAATTATATATATTTACATTTGCTCACTTTATGTTTTTAGCTCTTTTTCTGTCAATATTCAAGTGATTTTATCTATAATTTTAGGCTTAGAACCTTCATTTGTCATTAGACATTGATATTGCTGTACACACACACACACACACACATATATATATATATATATATATATATTTCTTAATGCAAACATTATTCATGTGATCTTGTTCCATCTTCCCCATTGGTCTATAGAACAAATATAAAGTGTACAGTCTGTTGCACATTGCGAGTCTGAGCAGTGTAAGTAGTAGGTTGCTCCTGAAGAAGTTGTAGAAAAATAAATATTGATTGAAATAATATTATGAACTTTACAGTTAATTTTCCATCATACAAAACACTCACTATTCTTCTGTACTCTTACTAATCTAATAAATGATCTTATACTCAATATTTTAATATTTTCATTCAAACTGTTTAATACAACTTAAATCTCAGGTTTTTCTTTACCTTGTTTTCCCACAAAAGTTCATTAGCATCACAAACTGAGATGCTTTCAATGTTTTCTCTTTCTTCATCCCTTCCAAAGTCTGTGATGATTACCTTAGTAATGTCTGTTACATTAAGAATTCGTTTAGCTTGTTCAAGAGCATACTCATCAGTCCATGTACTAAAAAATAAATATAAACAGTACACGTATGGAACAAAAAAGTTATAAGAAACATTCAAAGGAGAGAAAATCAGCTGTGTCCTGTTTAAATTAATATTTAATATTATGCACTACAAAAGGGGTAGCTTAGTTGAGAAGAATAAATGTACCTTGAGAACAATGCCAAGATCCTCTAAAAGACTTAAATTTAATTCTTAAACTTTATGTTCATTACCTAACAATAAAAATGTAAACACCAACAAGTAATAAAAATTTTTTACAAGAAAGTATAAGTACAATTTTTTACAACTGAAAAAACCCACAAAAGACTACAAATCTCGTGTGTCTGCACTCATCTTTTTTTTTTTTTCCATTCAACTACAGTATCAATTTCATACAACTGTATACTAGTTGTGAATTTTCTCTTGGATTCTAACAGCAGTTTTAGGTCACACAATTTCATAATTCAAAACAAAAAATCTTCACATTAAAAAAATCTTTACAGAAAAAAGTTCTCCTAGAGCAATGTCAAGCACATGACAACATAACAACTAGATAAAATAAACTCAGGTTTAATCAAACCATATAACTTGTCTAAAGAAATCAGAAATCTGGAATCATTATACCATAATGGACAGAAAATATTGATCAAATTCAATATATAAATATATAGCTAGGCATTTTATGATTTAATAATCCATAACTAAATCAACATGCAAGTTACTTTACACACTTTGTAAAAACATTTTTACTTTAAAACTTTCATGTGACATGTTGAAATAATAAACTTAAGGATTTATGATACGAAAAATTGTAATTTTTTGTGCTTTCTTAGATTATAATCTTTTCCAAATTATTTACACACATCACATTATAAGAAAAATTAAAAATAAATGAAGGGCAGCACCAACAGCATAATGAAAATCCTGAGAGACACTTTTAAATATTCATATCTCATCTTAAACAGTACATAATAATATAAAATACAATAAAAAGATGACACAAAAAAGTAAAAAACAATTATACAGTATTCAATAAAAAAAGTACCACTGAGGAATACTACTATTCTTTTTTCTTGGGAATGGGTTTGTAGGGACAACCTTGAAAAACCAAATTGTCCCTTGCCATCTGTATGCTGTGTTTCTCAAATACAAGCAGTTTTGAATCCTAACTCATATCAAAGTGATAAAAATTTACTTTTCATGCTAATGACATTTGGGAGTTTATATAACTTAACAAAATGGTAGTAACTGGTCTAAATGTGCTTCAGCAAAAACTTAAAAGAAGCAATACATTATTTGGCAAGCTGTACTACAAATTACAATAGATAAATAAGTGTGCCTTATGAATAAATTGGAACATAAACTTACAAAACATGAACTTCTTTAGGTCATGTCAAAGCGTTACCAATTAAAACCAATTGAAAACTATACATGCTTTTAAAAATTTTGATGGCCTATAAATAAATCAAATTCTCTCTAGTTTTGAGCTCCAGCCAAAAAAATTGCAACTATCTCAGTCTCTTTTGACGAATAATTATTGTAATAAATTATCAATATGATAGTTCTACACCAGGGGTTGGCAACCCTTCAAAGAAGAGCCATTTTTTTGTTTTTTGTCTAAGACCAAAACATTTTGAGAGCTGCAATATGCCATAAAGGATTTATAATGCTAAAATCAGGGGTTCGATTCTCCCTTGGTGGACACAGCAGATAGCCAGAGAGCTGTACAAATCTCTTTAAAGAGCTGCAGGTTGCCAACCCCTGTCCTACATCAACATTTCCCACAAAATTATACCCTTCCTAAATCTTGAAATAATAAAAAATCAGCACTTTATTCTAAATGAAGTCTAATTAAACTTAGACACATTTTAATATGTTAAGAAAAAGGGATCTATATAGATCCATGAACCAAGAAATTGTACATGTAGTCACCACAGCCATTAGTGTAAACATTTAGGTTCAGATACCTTACACTTCTCAGTCTAGAACTCTAGAATTAATGATGAGTTACTATCAAAACAATTATGCTTGGAAGTGGCATGGCCTATTGTTTTATCAGCTATGAAACATCAAGGAGCCTTTCTGATGCACCAAGGATGTCCTAACTCCAAACCTTCCTGAACAAAAAGAAATCTAATCACTAAATTCAACCTTGATCCTCCAAATATTCAGCAACCTTCTACTTCAATTCCTGTAAAGTTGTAACCTCTATCACTCTAGATGACAATTCGTTTCATATATTTACCATGCTATGGGAGAAATAAGACTGTCTCAAATAGAGATATATCTGACCTGTTCAAATCTTTCATGGTATATACTTGATAGAGCATAAAAGTGGCCATAAGTTTATATTAATTCTAAGGTAGACACTTTGTCAATTCAATTAAATTTGAAAAGCATAAAATCATACTTAAGAAAAATAAATCATTTATACATGTCTGAAATATCTATTTACATTAAGAAGTGACAGTTTAAGTAATCTGTACAATATTATAACATGTGGCAATAAGCTCAGTGTTTAAATATAAGTGTCCAATCACAATCATGCTGTGAAAAATCACCATTCTATTTAGAGAAAATTAAAATGAGAATTCGAAAATTTAATACATGAGAATTTTTGCTATTCAATAATCCAATGTTTTCATTGGTTGAATTTGTTAAGTGTTTCACCACCTGTAACAGTGTAAGTATAAAAATCCCTCATGCCAGATTTGAAGCTCTTAGTCTCAGCCAACAAATTTACAATTTTCTTATCCCTTACAATGATTGTAATTTTATACTAGATATGGTTATTTCTATAGACTTTACTATGTCAATTTCATCAACAAGTTTTATTTCTCTACTTTAAACAATCACTCATGAATACAAACAAGTTTATATGTACTGTTCAAGTACTTTCTTTTTACATTGTTACATTTCTGGATTGCAAACTTTATATCTGGTACATTTATGATAATAGCTCTACTTTTTTGCATATGACCATACTTCGTTCTTATTCATTGAAAATAATGAATTTTGAATTTCATTTTTTTTTAAATTACCAATCTGAGATAAGAATGGAAATAAACTGATTCTTTTTAATGAACATTAATAAGCACATTAAAAGCAGATAAAATATGAATTGGGCAATACTGTTTAATAGTAGTAATATTTATTACCAAGTGTTTAAAATAATGAATTAAAATACTACTAATAATATTAATAGTTATACCAATTTTTATGACAAAATGTTTTTTTCCCATTGGGCTGCTTTTATTTGCCGAGATTTTTTTATTTATTTTAACACAGCTGTTACGTTTCGAACTGCACACATAATGAATTAATCATTAAATTATGGTTAAGATGATGTAAATTTACGTAATGTAACCTAACAGTAACACACCAGTGGCAGCAGTACTAATTTAATATATTATTACTATTAGTATTACTATAGTATAGGCTATAGCGTATTTGCAGCCGTCGCCACTATCACGTTTACTTTAATAGAAATAATACTGGAAGTTTAAATAAACATTTAATACACGAAACACTCAAAAATCATATATACAAATTATACCTGTTAGGTTTCAGAATAATTTCAACATGAAGGGTTGATTGCACTTTCACTTCTTCTGGTACATATTCAAATATTTCAGAATCACCCGCCATGTTTACCTTAGCGCTACCTACTTTATTAATTATATGCCAATTTCTTTGCTATAACTTTATAATGAGTAAAACCTATTTACAATTATTTTTAAAATCCATTCTCAGCTTGTAGAGTTAGTTTGAATTTTTTGAAAAATTATATTGGATAATTATATCAAAGTTAAGGAATATATTCAAGTTTTTCTGTCACCCTGTTTTTTTTTTGTTTGTTTGTTTGTTTTTCTTATGATCATTCTACAAAAGCTCTCAAATCACTGGTAAGTCTGGCGTAGCCCAGTGGCTAGTGCGCTTTGACTGTGAAACTGAGAGTTCCTGGTTTATGGACCCTTGCAACAGAATAGTGCTCGGCACTTTAGCCAGTAGGTAAGCTATAAGAGTTTTCTCCTTCCCCCCTTTTTTAGTGCAAAGCTACACAATAGGATATTTGCGCTCTGTCTATCTCGGAGAATCGAACTCCGAATTTTAGTTTTGTAAGTCCATAAACTTACTGCTGGCCCACCACTGGCGGCCAAAGTGACGGAGGCAAGGTAATGAGTAATTGAATGTATGCGGACAGAATATTGTTGAGCACGTGAGAAGTTCGTTGTGAATTATAGCGTTTGTTATAGCGCGACTGTTGAAATTAAGTGTATCGTAAAGTTGTATTCAGAAAGAATAAACCAGTTTTATTTAAGAAAGGACTTGTATCGGTAAAGTTTCTTCGGAAAGAATTTTTACGGAAAATTAACTAACGAACGAAGACGTAACAAATTGGTGTCAGAGAGTGGGACAGAAAAAAAAAAGATGGAAACGAAAGGCGGAAAATCAAACTACAGCTTAGCAGATTTGATGGCAGCAATACAAGAACAGCAAAAGAAACAAGAAGAACGAGAAAGTAAACAAGAAGAGAGACAACAGCAGTTGCAAGAAAACCTGCAACAGTGGCAGCTCGAACAGCAAAATAAACAAGAGCAATTACAACAGTTGTTGGAGGAAAACGAAAAGAAACAAGAAGAGAGATTACAACAGTTGTTGGAGGAAAAAGGAAAAGAAACAAGAAGAGAGATTACAGCAGTGGCAACTAGAACAAGAAAGGAAACAGGAAGAATGTCTCCA